GTGGGACACTCTTGCAGGACACTCTTGTAGGACACTCGTGTGGGACATCTTGTAGGACATTCTGGTCGGGGACACTCTTGTGGGACACTCTTGTCAGGGACACTCTTGTGGGACACTCTCGTAGGACATTCGTTCTCAAATTCCTGCTTTGGCTTGGAGCTGAGATCTTGATGGTCCCAACCAAGAGTCAGTGAGCCAGTTGTTCACGGCCAATCCAGTATCTTGAAGGCAATCCGGCGTGTCTCTCGACTGTATGGATGCTGTCCTTTCAACAGGCCCCAATCCATTCAATGCTGCACACTCTCTTCTGAGAAGTTGATGTCCTCCTTTAACCCACTGAGCATTTGCTCGAACATCTGTCGATGGGCTTTCATCCATCTTGGCGAAGTTGGTGAAGTGGGTCTTAGTAAGTTTGCAGCGTCGAATGCCACACCGAAGGTTTGATGGCTTGTTGAGCCTTCTCGAGTGGTTCGATGGCTTGTTGAGCCTTCTCGAGTTTGTGGTATATGTTGCTGAGTTGCCTGTGCTGATTCCAATATCAGCTGTGCAATTCAGGACATCCGTGAGCCTCGTGAAGAAGTCGATTGATAAATCCGGCAAACGCCGCATTGCAACTTAGGCTGCTATGGATGCCACCACAAAGTGTACCAGGTACATGAAATTCCCGCGTGCTCCCCGTACTTATCTAAGGCAGGGGACAAAAAGAAGCTGGCCGATTCAGCTGTTTACCCCCGTGACTTCGGTATGGCTGTAGCAGCCCTGTTTAGAAAGGAGGGATGCCGCCAAGCTGCCGAGTTAGACTTTCAGTACAAAGCCTCGGCAGAGGATATGGGTGCGTTGGAAGACTTCCGGTTTGGCAAAAATGCCTGGTGGCGGAAGCTGTAGGGCCCAGGGGTGGAAAGCCATGTAGCATTAAGAATCTACAAATCATTTGCAACCATGCAAACTTCTTAGAGGGCATACCCACCCCTCATGGCTAGATCAATTTCCCAGTGAAGTTGGGGCAAAATGCTGGTCCGTGCATGCACTGTGTTTGATACATCTCGCAATATTGTTTGCTATATATTATACTACCCTGATGCTTAATATCACATGCAGCTATTGGGGCTTAATAGATCCAGCAGCACGTCCCCAAAACAATGCCGCCACCAACCAAGCAAGAGTTGGTTGAGTTCCTGGAGCTGTTGAAATTTGAGAAGATTTGTTTGAGCTGCTGGCTTGAGATCATAGCAGAATACTTGCCAACGAGCCTTGGACTGTTTTGCTACTGGCCTCGAGGGTTGTGGGTTACCCTTTCCTGGTTTGCACCCCTGGCCCAGCCATACCAACCAACCGCAATCTGAGGAGTGATGCTACCCAACTTTATGCAATATGCCGGGATTGCAAATGCGAAGAGAGGAGCTTCCAGGAGGAAACAGCAGAGCTAAGCTGATGCTTGTGGCATAGCTCTTAATTCATGATTTGTTGTTGGCCCTGCTCAACAAACGGCAGGGGTCCAGGGGTGAGTTGAAACCTGAAAGATAAGGACGACAAACTTGGATTCTAACTACCAAAGTGATCCACCATTCTCTGGAGGGTGCCACCTGGACAAAATAGATTGGTCCATTAAGTCGCATGTGGTTTCTAGCCACACGACCAGCAGCCCAACTCACGACCCTGCAATTGGGGCATCCACGTGAATCTGTGGAAATTGAGCACCACCTCGGAAGCTGGATTCCGAGCAGGAAAACTAGTTTTTTGTGCGTGTCATTCCGTGTCATTTGCGTGTCACGGAGGTAGGCTAGGGGTCACCAATTATGACCCCTTAAGCTAAGGGGTCATAATTGGTGACCCCTTAGAAACGTGTCGGGTGGTTTTCATGGAATGTCTCTGTGGTTCAATGCTTGGAAATGGTTCAATGCTCTGCTAAATTGGCTGAACTGGCTGGCGGCGCCCTCCTTCTAAGTGCTTTCTGGGAAAGGTTCACTGGAGCCAAGTCAATCTAAATGTGGGCCTTTGTCAGGCCAGTCTGTCAATACATGTGCTCAGGCTAGTCTGTCAATACATGTGCCCTGTCTTCTTCCAAATCGCCTTTCAGGATGGGGATCACTCCAAGTAGGGTAATTCATTTGTTTTTTTCTTTCTACTCATGCGTTGTGTATCTGTGTAGCTTCCTGCCAGTTTGCGTTGGTGTTTGGGCTATGGCTATGACCTACAGTTTTAGGGGGAATGGTTTTCAAGGGGCTGTTGGTTTCGATTTTGAGTGAAGGGTTCCCAGTGGCCCACTGTCCATCCCACTCAGGTAAGAAAACCTTTGATGGTTATTTTGGGTTTTCCAAAATCAAAGACCGGCAAGGCATTCAAAAGTTAGACTCACAAGGGTCCACACCCTCAATGAAGGACATGGAATTCGGGTTGCCCACCAGCCCTTCACATTTCCACCCAACCGCTTCAGAAGCATAATGCTGGGGCCCTTCGGGGCCCCATGGTGTCAGGTTTGCCACTCCAATGGTGGGGCTGGCCTCCATATCCACCCAGAGATGTCTGGGTGCGCCCTCTGCCACGCGGGGGAGTTGTGGGTTGTCGATGGTAGGGTGGCGTGTGAAAGTCTTTGTATGGGGCTTTGGAAGAATCAGGCCATGGTAGTGTGGCGAGATTCATTATTTGTTGCCACTTCCATAACTCTCAGAGTCCTGCGTTGCCTTTTTCTCTCTCTCGAGAGCGCCATCCATGGTGGATCTGACAGATTCCGACGCCGATGCCCTGACAGATTCTGGAGGTTCCTTACTTGGTTTTTGCAAGTGCTTTCCGGTTAGGTTGCTATGTTTCCTCAAAACTTTGGTGATTTGGGAAGACCCCTATATGTGAAACACCAGTTCCATGACTTCAACCCAAGGAGAACAACCTGTGGTAGCTGGCAAGAGGAAGCAACCTGAAATTCCTCCAGATGATGACTTGAAGATTAGATTGTCCAGACCATGTTTGTGCAAACAGCAGTCCCCCAA